ATTATATATAGGTACAATTGCAATAATATATTACTTTAGAAGGCTAAAATGGGAAAAGCATAAAATAAATATTTAACTTAAAAATATTTATTAATTAGCTGGGCATGGTGGCACACACCAGGAATCCAAACACGTGGGAGGCTGAGGCAGGAGTATTACCATGAGTTTGAGATCAGCCTGGACTACACAACATAGTGAGACCCTGTCTGAAATATATATATATATATTTGTTAATGATAATATTTTTGCTGTCACTAAAAATATTAGCAGCAATAATTTTTAGTGAAAACAATGTGATATTATGTGCCTCAGTATTTTTAAAATCTTGTTTAATATTTAATTATAGAATGACTTAAAGGTTTGGGTCCACATTGTTATTTTAATTCTTGGTTTTTATAGCTGACTAGGATACTGATATATCAATCAAATGGAAAAAATGTAATTGGTTCCCACATCCCAGTTTTTCAAAGATGTTTTGGAAATTCGGCTAGTAAATTATCTTCTCTGACATCAGTCAACTATTTACAAAAGTCAGAAATATTTTTGTATTTTTAACAAATAAGTTCAAACCTCAATGAAATCTTCATTAGATTTTTACTGTATTAATACTCACTCAGATGTTAGAGCATGCAGTTGTAAGTTTTTACTGATCACACTCATTGTCTCAGACAACAAAACACAGATGTACACATTTATACAAACAGACGCACTGCTCCCTGCCTAGAAGGCGCCCGGAAGGAGGGCCCCTGGCACTCGGGAAGCCGCTGGGTAGGGAGCACTGGCCCTCGGGCCGGCCCACAGCCTAGCAGGTGCCCGGGAGGAGGGTCTCCGGCCCATGGGGAGCCGAGCGGCAGCGAGCACTGTCACAGGCTGGCCCTCAGGCCGGCTGCCGTCGCTCAATTGAGAACTACCGTGACACAGAGAAACAGTGACACAATTGGCCCACGGTGCACCGGCTGCAGATGTCCACCCACGGATGTGTGTGAATCATTCAAACATGGAGAAACCCCTGGGAATACATGCCACACAAAGGGTCACTCTTGCTCCTGCCGTTGAGAACCAGAAAGGTCCAGAGTCAGCAGAGAAGCAGCTGCTGAACAAGGACTCAGAGAACATGAGAATACAGACATGGCCGAGGAGTCAGAGGTCCAGTGGACTGGGGCCACGAGAGCCATTCGGAAGCTGTAAACCAGGAGGACCTTACACAATACCTGGGGCAACTCCCTGGAAGCCATTCTTCCCCTGACAGCACAGGCTGTGTTGGAGCTCCAGAGAGTTCTACAGCAAGATTCCTGCTGCCTGTGCTGACAGTTGGGGAAAGGGCACTAACTGGTTGGGGGGTCCCAATGTGAGGAAAGCTAGAGAGAAAAAGCTACAAAGAATGGCTTTCACCCCAGACGGCTCACTTGAGATGTTAGTAAGAACTGCCTCCTCAGTATTCTATAGCCATGACGAGGAGGAGGCCAAGGAGAGAAAACAAAGAGACCGAGAAAAAGCAACTGCTTTTGCTGCAGCACTAAGAGAAACAGACCCTAAGTCTGATTCCCAGGGTCCCAAGAAGAACTCAACGACTGCATTCATCTGCTACCACTGTTAAAAGCCAGGCCACCTCAAGAGGAACTGCCCTAAGAGGCCCCATGGGCCATGCCCTGGATGCAAAGGAGACCACTGGAGATCGGTCTGCCCTCTGAAGTGGAGGCCCTAGACCTCAGACCCATCCTACCAGTTAGTCCAACAGGAGTGAGAGGGCCCGGGGCATACTCTGTCTTCTCCCTCTGGCCAGATCGTCATCTCCATGGAGGAGCCCTGGGTAATCACAACTATGGAGGAACAAGAAAACAGCCTGTTGCTAGACACAGGTGCAAGTCTCTCGGTCCTTCTTTTCAATCCTGGCCTTCCTTCCAGCTGTCACACCTCAGTGACAGGAGTCACTGGTGAGGAGGTAATATGCTATTTTTGACAACCCTTAGGCTGTAACTACTTGTTAGATCCTTCTTGCGTATCTCTGTCTTCCTGAGAAACCACTTTGAAGATACCACCATGTACTACAGCAGCCATTGATATTTTCCTACTAATCTATCCATAACTCTGGAATATTTGTATTGTTCCTATCCTGTTTCATAAATTGATGTATGTTTATTATTATGTGTTTCCTACAACAACGATTAAGAATAGTTAATGATGGGGCTGGGGATTTAGCTCAGCGGCAAAAGCGCCTGCCTGGCAAGCACAAGGTCGTGAGTTCGGTTCCTGGTACCGGAGAAAAACCAAAAAACAAAACAACAATAACAAAAAAAGAATAGTTAATGATTATTCAATAGGTCACTCATGGATAGCTCTATTTATCTTCTTTAGAAGTCACTTTGAAGATACCAAAGTATAGTACAACAACTATGGATAATCTCCTACCCCTTTTGTCTATAACTCACTATTATTTGTCTATTTGTTTTCCTGAGAAACTATCTTGTAGATAACAATATGTACAACAATAACCATTGATAATTTCCTACCACTTTGTCTGTAATTTGGTAAGCCCCCCATTATTATGTTACCCTTCTTTTACTCTTTAAAATAAAATTAAAAAAAAAAAAGATATGGGGCAGAGGTGATGCAGAGGCGGTAGAAGTCATATAGTAAGTACTCAATAAATGAAAGATACCAGTTGAGTACATGAATGAACCAATGTGTGCATAAATGAATAAACCAAAATATACTTGTCATAAATGAATAAATACTTGTGCATAAATGAATAAACCAAAATATACTTGTCATAAACTACTGAATATATGAAATGGTATGAAAAATACTTGTTGACTGTAATTACTTGCACTCTATCACAATATAAAAAAAACCAATAGCAAAAAAAAAAAAACACAAATGGACACACTGTGAAACATCTGCCTTCAAGATGCGTTCCCCAGCTGGGAGTGACAGCACACACCTATAATCCCAGCACTATGGGAGGCTGAGGCAGAAGGATAGGAAGCCCGGGCAATTTTGTGACTTGAAATTAGCGTCTCAACCCTGTCTCAACATTAAAAATAAGCAGGGGAGGGGAGATGTAGCTCAGTGTGAAGGCCTTGAGTTCAATTCCCAGTACCACGAAAAAAAAAAAAAAAAGAGCTAGAGAAAGAAAATTCTTTCTCCAAGGCAGTCACCTTTTCGTAATTATTAAATACTACCTTCTACCTAAAGGGTCAAAATAATGGTGCTTCTACAAGGTGAGGCTAGAACAACCTACACATCAAAATAACCAATTGTAATGGAATACAAGCCATGTAATAAATTAAGAACCCATGAGCCCACACCACACAAAAAATTAACAGGAGAAAAGAGGACTCTCCTTAGAATACGAACTAATGAATGCAGAAAAGATACATCATCATTTGTCAGCCCCCACTGGGGTGGTAGCTTCAGACAGGAGGTATCAATGAATACCCAGTGGAGATCTGATGTTCTCCCTACCAAGCAGTACTAATTACAAAGGAAACTGTGTGCTGTGACAGCAGAGAAACCTGCCAGACTTGCCCAGAGGACTAAGGCTAGCATCACAAATGGCAGAGCAGGCTGACATCGCGCGCTGTCCTCCTGCCATGCACTGAGGGGAGCACACAGTATGGTTTCTTTTTTTTGTTTTGTTTTACCGGTACCGGGGACCGAACTCACGACCTTGCTCTTGCCAGTCAGGCGCTGTGCCGCTGAGCTAAATCCCCAGCCCCTACAGTATGGTTTCTGTGTAAGTCCTACAGAGAAAGCACAGCCTGAGTGCAATAGGAACTGGTGAGATTTCCAGAATACTTAGTGGAACAGGATGGGCTTATAGGAGCAAAGCTCTGCCCTGAGGAGGCTGTGTGAAACCCCATGGGAGGCTGTTGGTTTCGGGAGGTAGGTGGGAGAGGCTGAGATACTGAACAGACCAAATGTGAAGAACACACTGAAGGTGAAAAGGCCTAAACCACTGAAAACTGTTGAGGAACTGTTCCACACTGAGGTTGATTAAAGAGCTATAACTCTGATGCACAAGATGTCATTCTGGACTAGGTTCTGAATCAAAAAGGAGAAGAAAGAGCCATTGTTGGGAGTCATCGATCACATCTGTCTGAGGTGACATGGCAGTGTTTCCACTGCCGTTTTCCTGATTCGGATGGGTCAATTGTGATTATTGAGGACAACAGCCTTATTTTTAGGGAAACACAAACGAAAACATTCAGAAGTGACAAAATACCAAGTACCTCACTTTCTCTCACGCGGTTCAGACAAAGATTGACTCTAAGGGAGGAAGCGTAATGAATCAAATGTGAAGTTCCAACTGCTGGAGTTGGAGATACAGAAGTCCTCAGCTTTTCCCTATGTTTGAAATCATTTTAAAAGTGTTTGTTTACCCATGTGAGCATGCCTGCATTTTCAATACCTGCCAGGTTTTATATTACTGACAAACACAAGTCATCACTGAAAAACATCCCTTCTGCCTATGGATGCATCTCTTGTTGATACATGTGTAAGGACATGTCAAGCTCACAACACTGAAAATGAAAAATATTTATCTTTATTTTTACTTTTTTTTACATTGTTTTGGCTTTTAATGTGCGATGCCTTGGGGCTTAAGTTAGGGAACCCTAGGAAAATCTGCATACCCTATTTCTGGCCCATATGTCAGTCAGTTGTGCTTGAATTGTGTGGCTAAGGGAGACAGCAACTGACCAAGGGGTCCTGACAGCCCTCTACCCTAAACTCAAATTTAAGTGCTTCACAGAGATGACAGTACTGAAATAAACATGTAGCTGTAGCAAAAAACTCTCAGCCCACTAGGTCCATTTGATTTCCATTAATCAGCATCCAGAGAACCAAGGCCACCTCCATCTCTTCAGGCTCGGGCTTAATTGCCGTGCACTCCCAGAAGCACACGGAAGATGACTAATCACTGACTGCTTCTTCAGCACCATATGTCTCCCAATTTCAAAAGAAAAACTGTCCCGACCATCTTGGAATAGATTTCCTACCTCCTGCAACTGGAGTCGAACCTTGGTGACTGCTCGGATCCAGTGCGCTCTGGCGTGAGTAAAGGGTGAAGATGCATTCTCCTCAGGAAGACTTGTAACAAAGGAAAGAATGTTTCTTAAGAACAGTCCAGGCCACAAGGTGACAGTACTCTCAAGCAAGATTGCAGATATCTAAAATAAAATGGTTTTTACTCATGCCTACACACGTTTAGTGATTCAGGCCACTAAAACAGCACAGTCCTGAATACCTAATGTGCAAACAATTCCTCTCTAAAATGACAGCTCCTTTTAGCTTTTCATCTGTTCCTATTCTTCCTTCTCCTGCATTTGCCCAATGTAGCGGCTCACAGAAACAGTCTGGGATCTGGACACCAGGAAAAACGACAAGAGCCCTGAGTCAGTGACAAGCAGGGAATCCACACAGAGCTGTAGGAGAAGCCTTTCAACCTCTCCCACCCCTCCTGAAACCAACAGCCTCCCGCGGGGTTTCACACAGCCTCCTCAGGGCGGAGCTTTGCTCCTGTAAGCCTGTCCTGCTCCACTAAGTATTCTGGAAATCTCATCAATTCCTAGACTATATAAAAAGTGCTTTCCTGCCATGATCTTGTACCCTTAGTAAAATGAATAATAAATATAACAAATACCTTAGGGCAAAAACACTACCTTGCATCAGAGCAAGTCATCATCCAAGTTCTTAACTGGATCAGTGCTTAATTCTTAGCAATAATGCTTCTCTTTCCTCCCTTTGGAGCAAATAGCCACAGTAGCAGACTACCTACATAGGCAAAATAAATGCTAGGCTCTGATACTGTCTACTGAATGGCTCAAAATAAGTGCCTAAAAACATTTGTGGGCATTTCTAGCCAGGAGAAAGCTGGGCTTCACACGCACAGCTAGGACTGGAAGGTAAAGAAGGACAAGCATTCATTCTGAGCACTTCTGCTTCTCTACCATGAGCTCAGCCCTAACGGGAACCACTATCTAAGGCACACAGCAAGTGAGCCCGTCAGTGGATCACCAATCCAATGAGAGGCTGGTCCAGGGCAAGGTCTCCTGCAGGTTCTGTCTGTTAATAAACCCCAGAGATAACTAAAAGCCAAGAACAGGGAGGGAAAAGAGCAAGCAAGTTTATTTCTTGGTATGTGATTTATGCACTAATCCAGTGATGGAAGAAAAGCACCAACCATCCCCTAACTTTTACCATGTCACTGGCATTCACGATCCTTTCACGGTAGATTTATTATCTACCAGACCTTGAGATCTGAGAATGCCAAGTTACACCTGCCCTTACCATTCTCCCCCAGTGATTTTCAACTGAGGCAAATTTACCCCTGAAGGAAAATCTCACAGTATCTGAAGAAAGTCTTTTTTTTTTTCCTTTCCATGTCTTTCTTTTTTCTCTTTTTTGAGATAGGGTCTCTCTATGCAGCTTGGGCTGGCCTTGAATTCTCTATGTTGCCCAAGCTGGCCTCAAACTCATGATACTCCTGCCTTAGCCTCCCAAGTGGTAGGATTCAGGCATGTGCCATCATGTTCAGCTGGAAAGAATTGCAGGAGCTGCTACCAGTAACAAGTGTAGAGACCAGGGATGTTACTAAAAGCCCTGAAACACATGTACTAGCTCCCCACAAGAATTATCAACCCCAAAGGTCAGCACCAAGACTGAGACCTGCTGTGCACCCACCTCTCTGCTACTCTAACCAATTTAGCTCAATAACAGTGACCACACTGAAACTCTACTGAACTCCATTATAAGACTGCTGGAAGAGCAAGTTTCAAATTTGTCTTCTTATGGCTGGAAATTGCTAAGCATACCACTGGACCCTGCAGGCAGGGAAGGGCGGGTCAAATGCATCCTGCAAATCAATTCTCTAACTCTGTTCTGATTTCTCTCAAAACAACAATGTTCACAAAGGAACTGAAAACACTGCTAGGGCAGGAATCCAGCCAGCGACCACACACACCCCCTGCAGCACGCCGGTCACTTTACACACAGAGGCTGCAGTGTGTGGGCTCAAGCACAGCAGACTCAACCGGGCATGATAGCTGAAATCTCAGCACTCAAAAGGCTGTGGCAGGAGGATTGCTGAGAGTTGGAGGCCAGCCTGGGCTATATATTGTAGTGAGTTCATGGCTGGCCTGAGGAGCTACATAATGAGACCCTGTCTCAAAAAAAGAACTGCAGATTCAAGGGATCCTAGAACACTGCAGCTCATAAACTCCAAAGAACCCAAGTGTTCTTTGGAGACCCCCACAATACCTTGGCAATCATACCAACATTCAAAGGAAGCAGTGCAGGGCTGAGTGTGGTTCTTTCCGCCCCTACCACACGCAGCCTCAGAGAAACAAATGAGAAGCACTACCATTCAGTAATACCACAGAGCAGGTACTGAGGATGTGTGAGGTATCACCTACCTCTCCTGGGGGCCTCCAGCATGGTCCCTGCGTAGCTCCAGAGCTGGGGGAGCACGGGCTGCCACATCTTCTGCAGTCTCCCTGGGTTCACATGCTCTTCCCCCACCTGCTTCACCTCCGGCCTCCAGGGCTTTCTCTTGCTCTCCAGAGCCCGCCTGGCCATCTCTGGAGAGGCTGCCAGAGCTGTGGCGGGAGTGAAGCCAGTCCTGTTCATGACGGTCCTCCTCTTGCTCGTGGTACTGCTCTAGTTCACTCAGCTGAGAGCTCCCCTGACTCACGTTGCAGGAAGAGCCGCACCTACTACTGCCGGTGGGGCTGTGAGAATGAGAGGAAGGCAGGTGAGCAAATAATGCAAACCAGAGACTAGGACACAAGCACGGACAACTCCAGGGACAACCACTACATCAGGGCAGTAATCACAAACAAGAGGCTCCTAGGAAAGCAAGGACCACACTTCACAACCTAGAAAAATTAGTGTCTATTAACACGATAGGAAAACGCACAACAGGCTGGATTCGCTAACAGCACTTAACCTCAGCCTTGCACTTGACTTTAAAGAATATCTTAATAAGCTACTTGTGAGTAGGATTGAATATTACAATAGCCTACTGCTTATTCCTAAAATTCTCTATTCAGTCTTCTAAAGAAACCTATCCAGTGGCTACAATTAGTTCTCTAATTTCCACATAGTAAAATGGACTAAACGAACCCCACTCCCCTTTGCTATTAGTTAATAAACTGAGGTCTTCATTTATTGCTCTACAACTGTAAATGTTACGTCTGTACCTCAGCATGAGCGAAGGAGAGCAGAGTGTTCCTTTATGTATCTCTAGTCATCCGCAGGAAGAAGTAATGGAAACTATCACATGTCAGTACCACGTCGCTATTCTGTGTCTGTGTCTGTCTCTCAGCTTCTGACCTATCCTAGTTCCTCTGGACGTGTCTGAGACACAGATCAAAGTAACATTCTTTATGCTGTATGGTACTTGTTCTCAGGGGAAGTAACACTATCTTCCACAGGTGGACCTTGCATAATGCTCCAGACTGAAGAACAATAGCAAAGGGTAGTCCTGAGATCCTGTGAGACTTTACAGAAAGCATTTACCAGACATCAATCCCGGCCTTTTACTACCCTTGAGACTGATAACTGCTTTGAGTAATGTCACACAGAAACTCAGGGCTGTCCTTTATTGTAGTTCTTCCACGTGAAGCACTGCGATACCCTGGGATTAGAGGCTGATACCACAGAAGTTAAACAAATTCATACGAAATAGGATATAGAATACAGACTATTGTAAGTTATCCTTTACATTTCGTATTTTACTTAATACCATTATTGCCACTGGAAGAAGCATCTTAGAAGACTTGGAAAACCAAAGCAAAGTAGGTTTTTCCCCATCTACGAGTTGTAAGTGTTGAAGGCCCAAGGAGGCATCCTATCCAATTATCCAGTTATAATAAACACACGCCACATAAATATGTGCTGCCTCCTCCTGTGCTGCCTTCTCCATTCCACTTTATACAAGGAAAAGCAAACCAGAGTGATTACATCTCAGGGCCTAGCTTTTCCTTTAAGCAGGACACTCCTGTGCCAACAAAAACTGAAAGAAGAGAACGAAAATACCCACCCATGAACTAGTTGTTACTTAACCCCTAATTAACACGAATGTCAAGTGCTAGGAAAGATATACTTGGATAAAAAGCAACTACGACAATCTACCACTAAGTTGTTTACATCATAAATGGTCAATGCCTTAAAACCATTTATGATGCTTGAGTTGAGAACAGGCCTTTCGCTGGTCACTGGGTCCCTGACGTCACTCAGAGCAGGAGGCTGCTGCACGTGTGAGACGGTGTTGGCATGAGCGGACACCTCCTCCTCTACTTGCTTTTCTGGCGGGTGAAGTAGTTCTGGGACAGCTCTGTGTTCTTCCCCAGGTTTTCCTGAAGGGCAGGTGGAACTAGAGAGGTTGCCTTCTGCACCCCAGTGTTCTCCAGATGCTGAGATTTCCCGCTGGCCTTCCCTTTCTCTAGGCTCTGAAAGCCCATGAGCGAAGACACCTGGCCTAGCCTCCAGCTGCTCACGGGTCACAGAAGGCTGAGTACTGGCCTCAGCCGGCTCATCTCTGGCCCCAGATATCTGAGACGACTTCAAAGATTTGTTAGCCTCGCTGGAGTTCAGGTCCTGGTTGCTGCTGATAACCAAAACTGCAGGGGAGGATTCTCTAGGCATTTGTTCAGGGTTCTCTTTGTTCTCTTTCGGCCATGGAAATGAAAGCTCTGGTTTCTTTCCAAATCCTACCTTTGCATCACTCTCCAGTTTACTCCCTTTCGCCTCACCACCTCCCTCAAATAGAGCTGACAACTTTTTAAAACTGGACATTAAGCCCGTCTCTGCGGCTCTGCTGCCAGCGGAGCCAGCGGAGGAAGGTGGAGAAAAGAAAGAGCTCAATGTCTTCCCACAGTCAGCAGCAGAGGATGAGAAGGGCAGCTTTGGCCAAGCAGCCATGTTTGGGCTGTCAAAATGGGGTCCTGGCTGCTCTGCTTCCGGAGGGACTGCAGGTGGACCTTTCTGGGCACGAAGTGTCCCACAGCTTTCCTTGGTGCAAAGCACAGGCTGCTCTGGCAGAGAGTGGGCAGCGCACCCTTGGGTCTCTAACATGGCACTCTCGCTGACACTTGCCTCAGGACACTGCGTGGTACTGGCTTCTAGCGAACTAGTTACATGCAGTTCCAAGGAGTCTTTGTTCATGGCGGCACTTTGAAAGGCTGGCTCTGGATCAAGAGGAGGAGCTGGCTGAGGTGGAGGAAGAAGCTCTTCAGCAGTCTCAGCGGAATGTGGATGCAGCTGTGTCGGTAGCAGACCCTGCTCTGTTTCCAGTGATGCCTCTGTGTCTGTTCCCTGCAACAACCCCATGTCTCCTTCATCACTCAGAGACAGCATGCCTTGCCTCGTGTCATCTTCGGAGACAGAAGGCGTAGCAACTGTGTCAAAACCCTGGGGTCTTGGGCTAATTTCAGGAATATTATATTGTTCATCTTCAATGGTCAGTTTGGGATCATCTATTAAGGCATCTGATTTTGATGTTACACCAATCACATTCATCCCATAATCGCTGACAGGGGAGTCAGAATTGAGTCCTGAAGAGGCAGCTTCCCCACATAAACTCTGTGGAGGTACCAACCCTACAGAATCTCTGGAACAGCTATTTTGAAGGCATGAAGTAGCTACAGGTGGTTCTTTATATGTCTCTGGCTTGGGACTTCTAAAAATTCTAAGCAACTCACCTTTGAGAGGCTGAGGTGATGCCTCTGAAGAAAGAGAAAAAAAGGAGCTTCTCTTTGGTGATTTTGGAGAGGAGAGAAGTCCAGAGAAAGGTTTAGGAGGACATTCGGAGAACGATTTTACTTTGGTCACAAATCCTGAAAGCATTTCTACTTTCGAGCCCAATATTGTTTTGTCTTCCTCTTTACCTGCATCTTGGCTCTGGAGGGGCCCTCCACCCGCCGGGTCTGGACAGGCAGCACTTGACTCCAGAGTCTGTGGTGTGATCTTATCAGAGGCTTCTTCGAATGGCAAGTTCAAGGAGTCAGGAGTAAATGTTTCATTTTGGTCACTGAGCTCTTTGTTCAAATGATTATCATAAGAAAAAGAGTTTACCAATGAACCACTGGAAAAGGCTTTCCAGTTGAAAGCCTCTTCTTTATGCAGGGCTACCTCTTCGTCCATGAGGAAAGTTTCAGTGTGCTCCTGAAATTTTGGTGAAGGAGGAACAACATCTTCTTGCAACTGATTTATCTGAAAATCTGAAGATGTCTCTGGCTCATTACTGGAACTCAGTTCTTCCTGAATTTTCTCTACACTGACCTCATCCGCAAGGGAGGTAACCTCGATGGGGTTGTTAACGGAGATACAAGGGATCACTTGCTGTTCATCCGCTACCTCCTGGGCTATGCTATCTCCATGACCACTACAACCTTTCAGAGTCACTGTGTCACTAGTGTCTACACAAACACTTGGCTTTTTGCAGGGCTGAGAAGTCACTGGAGCAACAGTTGAAAGACTTTGTTTTTCCCTAGGAGTCTGCTGTTTTTCATCCAGAAAGGCCAAGCTGAAGAAACTAAAAGCAGAGCTACTACGAGAAGTATCCTTCTTGATGCCTGAGCTAGTAGTGGGAAAAAAAGAAGGAAGTGTGAATAGCCCTTCTGCCTGAGATTTGGTTTTGGGTAGAGTAGCAGAGGCTTTGTTCTCGGAATTTTCAGATCTAGTCAAAAAAGAAAATATACTCTTTCTGGTCGGCAGCTCTGGCTGAGATGAGGATGTGGCAGCGGGTGAAAAGCTCTGGTCTTGGTCAGGAAAATGACCTTGTTCATTTTGTCTTCTGTTCGGAATATCAAGACCTACTTCATTACTCCTTGGAGCTTCCATCACTGTGGTGCCACTGTTTTCTTTTGAAGAATCTCTGGAAGACTCTTTGAGACTACTTTGAAAAGAAAGATCTGCTGACTGCTGAGGGAGGTAGTCTCTGAAATGTCCCTCTTTTTCACTCAAATTGTCACTCGGGATCTCCCCAGTTGACGGTTGCCTTAGACCACTGTCATCAATAGTAGTCTGTTTGCTCAGGGTTCTAACTCTAACCTTTCCTTTAGAGGAAACTGGTTTAGGAGGAAAGTTCCCAGTACCCTGACTGGTTTCCTCTACAAGATTAGGACTTGACCTGACCTCATCCTTATCAGTCACTGAAGAAGCAGACACAACTTCAGTTGTCGGAATGGGAGATACACTGGTTTTAAAGAAATCTCCAAGAGTACCAAAAAAATTTGAGACACTAGAAGATTCTTTCTTTTCTTGAGATGATGTTTTTTCATTTTTATTACCATTCTCCAAGTTTGATGACTCCTCTTTATTCACTTGGGTTTTAAAGAGGCTGAAAAACCCAGATGACTGTTTTTCATTTGGCACCAGACTTACTGAAGATGCTTCTCCTTGACCAAAGAGTCTCAGTGCACTTTTAAATAATGTTCTTTCGGGCTCTTTAGAAGACTGGTCTTGAGGAAGTTCATGGTTTCTACACTCTTTCCTACTAAACTGAGGTACAGCACAAGCTGACACAGAGTCAGCTGTAACGATTTTATCATCTTCTATACCTGACTTGGTTTGAGGAGCTGTTTGACTTACCTGATAGCCAGATTTTAACAAACTTTCTTTTTTCGCATAGATGTTTCTACGTAAGGGGAATCTCTGCCTCATGTTCTTAGTAAATTCTGGTTGTTCAACGCTGGACACTGTCTTTCTCTCTGAATCATTAAGACAA